CTTGATACGACCGCAGAGGTCAAACCCGGAACAGTTCGGGCAAGTATGGACACAACATTCAAGCTTGATACAGCACTGAATTTGGATTGTGATTAAATATTTGACACAGCATAGGTTTCTGACACAGATTGAATGTGGTCTAAGAACTTAAAAATTTTTAATTTAACTATTCAAACCATATCATTATTATTTGCTTTTATATTTAAATCAGAAATAACCAATTTAAAATGGAAAATTTTAAAGAAAAAAAAAGGAAAAAAAATTCCCCCCCCAAATTTTTTGAACCCCCTTATGATTCATCACCCCAAAACTAATCCCAGCCTTCCCTTTGTGGTATGGTACCTTGCAGTACAATTTCAGAGAGATCCATACACTTGAACACAAGTTATTGTCTGGAAACTAGAAAAATGCTTGTTTTTTGGCCCCTTTTTGGCCCCAAATTCCTAAACGTTTAGGGCAATTACCCCCAAACTCAAACCCAGCTTTCCCTTTGTGATATGGAACCTTGTAGTACAATTTCATAAAGATCCATACACTTACACACAAGTTATTGTCCTGAAACTAGAAAAATGCTTGTTTTTTGCCCCTTTTTGGCCCCTAATTCCTAAATTTTGAGGCAATTACCCCCAAAATCAATCCTAGCCTTCCCTCTGTGGTATGGTACCTTGCAGTACAATTTCAGAGAGATCCATACACTTGAACACAAGTTATTGTCTTGAAACTAGAAAAATGCTTATATTTGGCTCCTTTTTGGCCCCTTATTCCTAAACGTTTTGGGCAATTACCTCCAAACTCAATTCCAGCTTTTCCTTTGTGATATGGAACCTTGTAGTACAATTTCAGAAAGATCCATACACTTACACACAAGTTATTGTCATGAAACTAGAAAAATGCTTGTTTTTTGCCCCTTTTTGGCCACCAATTCCTAAAATTTTGAGGCAATTACCCCCAAAATCAATCCCAGCATTCCCTTTGTGATATGGAACCTTGTGGTACAATGTCAGAGAGATCCATACAATAACACACAAGTTATGCCTGGAAGTTACAAAATTGCTAATTTTTGGCCCCTAATTCCTTTACTGTTGGTACCATAACCCCCAAAATCAATCTCAACCTTCCTTTTGTGGTATTGAACCTTATGGTAAAATTTCATAGAGTTTCATCTGCTTAAACTAAAGTTATTGTCCAGAAACCAAATGTGTCTTTGGACGACGACGACACCATAGCATTATACGACGCAAAAAAATGTTTGCAGTCGTATAAAAACTTAACATTGACCACTGAACCCTGGAAATAAAGTCATGGTCAGATGAAACCTGAAAGTCAGACATGAAAACCTTACAATCATTCCATACACCAAATATAGTTGACCTACTGCTTTTGGTATTGGACCTTATCACATCAATTTAACCTTGATCACTGATCCATAAAACGGTTTTGAGATGAGGTGAATCGTCTCATGGACATGTAGACCTAGCAAAGACTATTTACAAAAAAAATTATCGTATTACTCACAATAAGCAAGAAATGTATATAACAATTAACTACTGTCACAGAGATATGTCTCGCCTGTCAGCAGAAATTTCAGAAAAGACAATCTGATGGACAATATTGCTAATCAATTCAAAGTTGCTGCACCATGACATAGAGGGCAGTGCATCAAAATGATTGTCAAACTAAAATGTACTGATAGTAATGCAACTTTATAGAAAATATCATTGATCTATCACGAGTCATTGCCAAAAAAACAACACCTATGTCTCGTTCGTTGCAGGCAAGACAAAAAACTATACAGTTTTTGTAGGCAGTCACCGAACTCTGAAAGAGAGGTCAAGGACAATTGACGTAAGACAAACAGAATCTTCTTAACATGAGACATCTTTATACAAGGAATGAAGCATCAAGGTCTCCTTCTTTCTGATTTATAAAGCTTTTCAGAAATAGTTTACAACACTGCCATCGGCAGATTTGCATCCCTATTTCTTGCATTTTTAGACTTTCGTCGCAGGTCGGACAAAAATCATACTATTTATATCTTTATTCTCCCATGTAGGACAGTCTATGCAAATGTGTTTTTTTTTTTTACATTGAGTGAGATAATGAAGTACAACATTGCAAGATCACAGATTGTTATTCAGATGTCTCAATTCAGAAACATAGGCCACAACAAAAAGTTCACTCAATAAAGACTATAGATATATATTTGAATGTGGTTTATTCAAGCTAGGGTAGAAAGACAGTGGAAAATTCAATACATACACTGACTTACAATTAATTCAAATAAGTGTATTATTTTCTTATTCAAAATATGAGATTCAGGTATTATTTAAACATTTGAGTTACTTCGTATAATTTTTAAAGAATTTTTTTTTTAGATCAATAGTATACAGAAATTAGTTATTTGGTGTGGTGTTCTTATAAAAAGGTTACATAAATATATAAAAAGTTTGTTAGGTTTACAGTTAAATAACAAAGTTACAGTCACTAATAACTCTTTTCAAGGTCAATTAATTGTAGTTCAAGGTCGGATTAATTGTAGAGAAATCAAATATGAAAAAATATTGTTAACTTACAAAAATGTTCAATAATCAAAATATAATGTAATACAGATACTGCAATCTTCCCTTTTTTAAAGCTCATATAAACATACGCAAATGACAATGATTTTCATTAAATAATTATGAACATAGACAAAAAATCACTTTACATGCTAATGAATCAATTTTTCAAAAATAGCTACTCAAAAATGGATTGGTACAAAATATCTTCTATCAACAAAAATGCAAACCAGCTGTGTACAAAAATTTCACAGAAGCTCTGTGCATTTACAACAGAAATACAATACATACACTGACACAACCTTGTTTACTTTAATAATCAGTTTCAACTATGCCTGAACATATCAGGTTTATGTATATGTAAACAATAGCAAACCATAAATTTCTATTTTATAACTTGTAAAGCATTTATACAGGCAATTAATGTAAATCTTAATTATTCATTATGCATCTTTTAAGCAATTTTCGTAAACATCAATAAAGCTGACTTAAAGCAAAATTGTATTGTGAAGCAATAATGTACATGGATAGTATAAGTATATGGCAAATGCAGTCATAAGAAATATAATTCATATTTAAAATCAACCTGCTAATACTGTATAATGTATAAAAATGTATGGCAAACAGAGGAAGGTAAAGTTCTAGTTAAATAAACCAGGAACAGATTTAACTTTGTACATTTTTAGAGAAGAAAACGTCATAAATTTTCATTTCAATTGATCCCTTTCTGAGATTAATTGGAATACAGTCCAGAATACAAAATGGGATAAAAAGTTATGATACACCTATCACCTAATAATATTCTAAATAGTATTTATACAGACTTGTGTACAGAGTAAATCCAATTTACTATGGAATGAAAAATCTGGAAACTTGAGTAACTATACAGAACAGGGGAAATGATAGTTTTTTATGAATATAGTCGAATCAACTATGAATGATGATAATAGAGAACTTATTCAACTAAAAAGAACCATAGCATTCCAAATTCTGTGTAAAGTGAAAATAGACCAAACTTCGTACTTTATTTGGCCTTTTTAACTTTTTTTATTTGAGCCTCACCGATGAGTCTTTTGTAGACAAAATGGATGTCTGGCGTACAAAATTTTAATTCTGGTATCTTTGATGAGTTTATTGGCATATATTGCTGCAAAAAAAAAGTCTATTAGTTTAATGCATTAAGCACCATAACTTTGCAATGGCACAAGTACAAGTAAAAATTGACATTTTCAATAGCAAGCTAATTATCAGAAATATAAAAACTTCATGAGAATTGTTAATAAAAACTTCAGATATTGTTCATTTGTAAGACTATACCCATTATAGTATACCTTGATATAAGTATAAAGTCCTATAAAAGCAGCAAAAAATTTGTTTACATTATCCAGTATATTCTTGATCAATATATGATAACATTTCAAAGCAAGACTTTCACCCATGCTGAGGAAACATTGGTATACTGTTGTAAAATGGAATACTGCAACCATGAATATCATTTCACAAATTACACCTTACTCCACAACACAAGATATTGTAATGTGTATACCATTTTCACAGAGAAAAAAACATCTACATATACACTGCTACAACAACTTCCTTGACATATTTAAAACTGTCTTGAATATTTGATCATTTAAACCGACAAGTTTTTGGTACTATTCAAACTCATCAAATCGAAAACAAAGTGACAATGCCATAGCAAAAAAGCATAAAACGATAAACATACATAAGTCTGAAGTAATATGTTTTTTCTTATATCAGTTTATCGTCCTTTTTTGTAGTTGTACATTCTTAATGAATCTCAAGGTTTCTGTAAAAGTGACACCCATGAAAAAAACTACTTCCCTTTAATCAGACAGACATATAATTATTCTCTCACTTTCCACCAAACACGACTTAACACATATGTCAACACACAGTAGTGGTCTATGTGCAAAGTGAACAGACTGACTAGAAAGCCAAAAAGTTGATCCAACACCAGTAAAAAAACCAAAACATTAATAACTTTATCATATCTTTAAAAAAAAATTTAAAAGTAACTCCTTGAACAAAACAAAGATATAAAAATGGGCACAAAAAAGGTAAAACCCAAAAAAAATATATCATCTTTAATATCAGTTTGTTATCATTTTTACGATATTGTAGACATTAAATTGGGAAAAAAAGAACTTCTCATTATTAACAAGTCTGAAATTTAAAAATATGTTTTGCTCATGAACTAATTAGAATGTGTAATTTATAAGAATTTTGGACTGATAGCAAAACAGTAACAATGTTTTCATATTATCAAATTTTTATTTGAATTACATGTAAAATTATTTAAATGGGTCAGTTTTTATGCAAATGTGACTGCCGGAAAATAATGTTTTAAAAAGTTATTTACAGGAGCTGAACACCTCAATTATCATGCATGGAGCCGTATTTTAAGGAATAAAATTTTCCTTGAATGGAAAACTAACATTGCAAGCACTGCTTTGATTACTCTTTTGTACAGCTGATATGAATTAAAAGCACCTACATTGAAACAAAACAACCTTTCTTGCAATATTTACAAAATATGAAATCTTGTACCAACCACTTCATTCAGTGAATTATGCCATTGTTGTAAAATGATATAAAAATGTTTAAAACTGAACCAATACATACTCTAGATTCTAACATAAAACAATGATTGTCAAAACAAATAAATCACTCAATGGCAATAATCTAAATGACAGATGACCGTAAGTTGAAATTGAAGTTCATAGGTGAAACCAAAGATTTTTGTAAGATTTGCAAACAATTTTGGCAAGTTGAACTTAACGAAAAAAGGAAAAAAAACAATAATGCATTCATCTCTTACATTTTCTGGAAAATTATTGAAAAAAAGGGTTATTTGTAAAGATTGCAACTAATATAAGTTAAAACTATCTTGCAATTGTCTAAAACCATCACCGTTACAAAACACCATTATGTTAATCATAAGTTTTTCTTAGTTGACATTATGTTGCTAGATAAATTTCAACTTTAATGGGAATAAGATAATTCTAAAGTCACAAATTTTATTTTTGATGAATAAACTGTTCTATGTCTATGTCTGTGATGAAAATTATTGTAAATAATAAATTTAACTGTTTAACAACCTTACATTCAGTCTGACAAGTCACCTGGAAATCATTTTTGAATAACATAAGAGAAAATTCAGTAAACCCATCATTTTCCTTTTCTTTAAAGAAAAAAAAAATAAATCTTTCAACAACACATGTAATTTTGAAAAATCTATGACTTTGTTTTCAAAGAGTGATGATTTAATGATAATTTTGCAACCATTTTTCACAATTTTAAAATGTATTCATTAAAATGTTTAACTTTTTCAAAAATGTTATGAAATCATATTCAGGCAATTCAAACAGATGCATTATTTAGTTCATGTTATACATGTCCAAATTGCATGCAAAAACTCACTTAACATAGCCTAATAACAGTTCCTTGGCCTAAAAACGTGAAAAATAAATATGTTTGTGCGAATGTGAATGACATTTTCTCCTCCTTTTATTCATTTAAGTAATGATGAGCAATATAACCTGTTGAAAAGAAAAAAAAATCTACATGTACAAGAGAATTAATTTCAGTTCCTCTGAAACCTGATGAATCCCAAGTTTCCCTATATGTATGTTCAAAGCACTTATTTAGCACATAATTTTAATTCTTAAAAATGATTACTTTTCTTTCCCATAACAAATTTGACAAAATTGGGGAAAAACCCTGCAATTAAAGATCCTTGCCATTTTGGAAAACTAAGGAGTGCCTACTTCTATGTTTCTACATGAGACATTATTTTCGTTGATATTTAAAAAGCTTTTGAAACTACACTATAACAACAAATGACTGTGGTATTTATGATAAAAAAAATACCATGCATAAATTTCCCAAATAGAAATCATATAATGATGCCTTTTCACATATACATTTCTTTTTAAAAAAATTATTTTTACATCACATTGTCACATTTGTAAAGAAAAATGCTCACTTAAATGGATTGAAAAACTACTTTGTATTTTGTCCATAGCTATTTCATTAAAAAGTGAATACGTTCAAGAGCTAGCACCTTAATGACTTGGTGTACGAAAAATATACAAATGTACAAAAAACAACCGATGTATATACAACTGTTTATGGCAAGACACATTGATGTTAGCTGCTCAAATTATACAAAGCACATGTTAATTCAAACATTTACTACAAATTCAGAAATAAATAGATCCATTTTTTATTATTTCAAATTATAAATAAAAACTAATGAAGTGTGAATCTGGTAGTTTCTTAACCCTTTCACCGATAGCTGCCCAGACAGAAGCTACTCTGAGACGATGGCTTCCCTGGCTACTATTACTCAAGTGGGAGATCTTCATAATAAATGTCAATAAAAACTTGTCTGTAGTTATTTTGTGTCTTTATTTCATTCACTAACACCATGTGCACAGTTTTGTTCATGTTTTGATAATTTTTTCTTCATAAAATATTCAAATTTTCGGCATTATCTAGGTGAAATTCTCAAAATTCTACTTTTTGACCCAAAATCGTAATTTTTTAACCCAAAACGGCAAAATTTTGAAAAATTTAATGAGGCTGTACAAATTCCTTACACTGAACGATGTCCATTCCAAGTGTTTTGTATATAAAACGACATTTTATGTCAAAAAAGTATACTAGTTTGGCTTCAATTCTTCCATATTCTTTCAAAAAAAATGTTCCCTCATTTTAAATTCTTGTAAATTCCGTAAATTTCCTCTGATTTTGACACGGTTTTCAACAAACGGAAGCGCCATGTTTACACTTTCATCCAGGTATTCAACAAAGAAAGATAAATCGTGTTTGCACTGTTCTGAGCGGGAAATATAAAACAGGTATTCCGATCCCGGTAAAACGGGACTCATCGTCAGCTGTCTGAAGCGTGAATCCCGGTAAACCGGGACTCATCGGCGAAAGGGTTAATCAGCGCCATAACAAACACAGGTGCTTTCTTTTGTTTTTTCAAGCAAAACCTAGACAATTCTAATGTAACTTTTCTCAGTCCGCCGTCAGTTAATTCTGATACATTAATGAGGATAATGTTCAGTAGTTTTTTTTTTCAGGCACTGCTTTTTGAACATTTGTTATGTAAATGGGACTGTCATATTACAATTTTTTGCATGAATTAAATCATCAAAATTATTTCTGAATTTACAGTACATAGGAACAATGATAAAATGATCAATACAAATAATGGTTGATGATCTCCAGTGCAAGTTATAATCAATGAACATTTTTTCTGTTTATTGTTTTACATGACAATCATCTATCGAGTCCGTATAGTGGCATTACTTTATAAATAATATGATATTAAACTGGCCATTTTATTTAAATAATCAGGTTCTTAGATGTACCTACTTCTAATTTGCTGTTGCTTAGGTTTATTAAAATTGAAAAATTCAATCTGTGTCTTAAACCTTCTCTTTCAGTCTTGAAAATTAAAAGGACAAAATCAAAAATTTCCATCAGTTCAGAAAAACAGGGGCCAACATAAAATTCTTCAGCTTTGTTGAGATAGATATAAATTTTTACAAGTATTTCAGTGAAAGTTGAAGGAAATACTCTCTTACATCATATTATCACCAGGTTTATAATATAAAATATGATGGAATACTTGATCAAATTAAAAAAGAAACTGGAAGGCATGTTTCATAATGATCTGTCCTTCCCCCAACAACAAAACCAAATGATATGAAATTATTTCTAATACCTTTTGTCCAAAACTTATGCAACCTTTTTCTTTCAAAAGAAACCCCCAAAATCTGATACCATAACACAATTTTAAAGCCATGATTCAAAATGTCTACCATAACGATTAAATGCTAAAATATGTGGGAGAACAAAAAATCTACTTTTATCTATTGATATCTACATATATATATATAATATACACAAATCAAGTGAAATGAACTCTTCCATGAGTATTTATAAATAAGAAAGATCATAATCATACATATTTACATAATAAAACTGAGTATCAAATACACAATACACATGCACGAAACAATAATTGTATATATAAAATACAGAATAACAAGATAAAACAAAATACAAAAAAGACAACAAAGAATTACACAACATAAAACATTGAATGCTTCATTGGTGTAAAAGTTGTAAAATAAAAGAAATATCACATGTTTGTATGACAACCTGTTTAAAATGCCCCCAAAATAGGTTCTTCTAAAATGACATGACATATTTCAATTTGTTTATTTATGAAACTTAAAAACATTTTTATACTTACAAATTTCAAAGCTAATTGATTTTTGTTCACAAAACACAAAAAGTTTTTTTTCAATCCTAGTTTGAAAACTATCCTGGACTTAATCAAAATACAAATTAAATATAAATTAAACACATGCTACTATGTGAATAATACATGTTAGTTTGTATCATTAAACTGGAATGTCACTTCATCAAGGCAATCTGCCTGACTGAGGTATTTAAACATGGGACCAATTGTAAACAAATTGAGGATGATCATCATTACATCTTTAAATGTTCTATTAAAGATAGAATGGACAGATATAAAGAGAACTGGTTAGAATTGTAACGAAGAACTCAGCAGTTTTAAAGTGGAATCAACCAAATAAATATTGATTTCATGGTTGCAAGAAATGATATGTGAAATTTCTCAAAAAAAGAAACTTGTTTTGTGTAAGTTTAAAAGCACAACTAGACTACCCTTATAGTGATTAAAATAAAATCTGATGTTGCAGATGATGAGATCGCCCAAGTTAAAAAAAAATAAATTACAAAGCATATTTTGCAGACTGACAGATACCTGTTTACACATATTTACGTGAGCTGAGGTAATATATTCACAGCTTACAGTGATGTGTGCATATGTTAAGAGTTCAATGTCTTTCATACACTATTTTATGATATTTATGCATACTAGTCAATACTACTGACATATATATGACATAGTCAGAAAAAATCCTAAATACTGCACTTGGATACATATTCTGACTCTAATAAAAGCACTTGATTGTTCAATTTGTTTCAATTTCTAGTGACAGAGTCCATCCAATGAACACATAATATAACAAGAAGATTTCATGGTATTCTGGTCTTTAGCATGTGTCACACAATTGTTGTTTCTGCTTTACTAGAATGGTGATTATTTGGTAAGGATGGACTCCGTGGAACTTTATTCTGAATTGACGGACTTCGAGGAACAGTTCCATTCTTTTTTGACGATCGTAGAATCAAATGATTTGACATTAATGCCGAGTCTTTTTCATTCTGGTCATTGCAGTAACTTTCTACAGCACTATACAGGAATAAGTAGTCACCCTGTGTGAATAAAAAATTAATTATAATTAAAAATAATAAATTTTATCATCAACCAACAAATAAAATATCCAGTTTTCAAATAAATGTAAAGCCTTAATGTCAGGCAGGTGGCTGAATCAAGTTGAAATTCTTTTAAAAGATCTCAAACTGCTGCCAGACAAAATTGTAATATATTTTATTAGATGACAAAATTATAAGAACAGACAAGCCTGTGTTGCTCAAGCAGCATCTTGGCAACTGTTTTAGTTCTTTTGATTGAGTTAAGCCATTTCAATTGATATTTTACAGTGCGTCTTTCTATGTTGTGATGTTACACTATTGTTTCAGGTAGGGTGAAGGTTGGCGCCTATTAAAACATTTAAACCTGCTGCATTTGTTTGCACTTGTACTAAGTCAGGAACCTGATGTTCAGTGGCTGTCGTTTGTTGATGTGGTTCATCAGTGTTTCTCGTTTCTCATTTTATATAGATTAGACTGGTTTTTTTTCCTGTTTGAATGGTTTTACACTAGTCATTTTTGGGGCCCTTTATAGCTTGGTGTGAGCCAAGGCTCTGTGTTGAAGGCCGTACTTTGACATATAATGGTTTACTTTTAAAAAATGTGACTTGGATGGAGAGTGTCTCATTGGCACTCATACCACATCTTATTATATCCACTTATACATTCTTGGCCTTCAAATACTGAGCTTTGAGTTTTCCTGATGAAGGTAAATCCAGAAAAAGGCTTTGGACACATGAAAATTATAAAGTGTTGTTTTCACTTTTTTTGCAGAAATCTTCAAAATGTCAGTTAAGTGCTACTATGTAGTATTAGGAAGGCAGAATCATTGAATATAATTCTTAAACACATTCATTATGATTTAGTAAAATTTTTTTGTTTTAATTCAGCCTTTTTATTCCAGTTCAAATCAATTAGCCTAGTACCTCAGATGAGCAGATTTTTCGGCTTTAATTTTAATGTTTTCTCCTGTTTCTATAGTGTAATGATACATGTCAGAATGCTTCGAGGATAAATCAATTCTATCATTTAGAAAGGTAGGGAAATTAAATGGGATTATCTCCCTTTAAAAATGAATAACATATAAAACAAATTTATGTCAATTCACCAATGTTTTACAAAATAAGCTATACTTCAACCCTAAAGAATTTTAAGCATGTTCTCTCACATCAATTGTACCTCTAACATTGATGACTTGCAATTACAAGAACACTCTTGTTTTAATGAGACTGTGGATTCATTATTATTCTTTGAAACCTTTTTCATAGATTTTGTGGGTGTAGGTAAACCATGAATTTAAATGTTCAACTAAATAAAAGTTTTCAAGCAAAGCAACGAAATCAAATATTCTGAAAACACAATTATCCGTCAATGTGCGAAAGTTGGTACATAAAAAAAATACATAAATCCACAGCAACTGATATATCTTACCATTGATCCAATAATTCCTGCTCTCTTCTTATGGTAAAGTTTACACAAGTGATAAATATCTATTGTCTTATCATGTTGTAATTGATCCAATGAGGACCAGAGAGCACAGAATTTACATCCAGTAACACCGCCATATCTAAAATCATAAAATATACTAATCAAATTGGATATTTAACTTTATTTCATATTCATAAATTGAAATGCAATTGAGTCCTATACTTTTTCACAAATCACATGTACACATAAAATCAAGATCTGAATGAGAAACATTCAATACCATCTGAATACATGCAATACAGTCAAAAATGATACAAGTTATTTGGCTGGGTGTTAAAATCATGGAAAGCTAAAACTAGTTTTAAACAAAATCTAAAGCTTGTAGCTCTTTTGTTGCCAGAAAAAAATCTTATGGGTGAAATTGATGGTTAGGTATATGGACTTTAATGTTGTCATCTTGACATACACCTGGAACATTTTGCCATTGTAAAGACAATATTTTGCAAAACCCAAGACCTCTCCATGCCTTTTCTTGTTTTTTTTTAGTGTTGTTGGGTTTTTTTGTAGTTATCTCTTTATTAACAAATTCTGTAAATTCACAAATTTTTGCATGTTATTATTATTGTGATTGTTGAACAATGGACAAAAAATGTGAGATAAACTTTTACAATTTCAGGAAAGGCTGCACACAAATAATGATAAATATAAAACATGATTTTTTTTAAATCTATCTAGTTGCAACTTTCGAAAAAATAAAAACATTGCTAAAATATTTGAATTTGCAGTACCCAAATCTCCTTTTATACATATGTACATAAAAGTGTTTTCTATTTATTGTAGTCTGCAACTGAGTTATACTGAATTCTGCCCTGCTTCTTCCTATATTGAGGACAGTTTGTATATCAATCTTACTTCTCTACAACAATAGACCATTTTCATATTACCGACTTTTGACTCGGAATTATATAATTTTTCGACAGGTTACCTACTCTATGGTAGGACATCCTGGAACTTGGTCAACTAAGAGCAACCAAAAGAAGTAAAATCAAACATGCAATTTGGTGGGAAAGATAACTGTTTTCTGAAGATTTTGTCGCGTATAGAAAACATAAAACATAAAACATAAAACAATTAAGTTTCCCCCAAAATTGAAAGCTTGATTTTACTTCTTTTAGTTGCTCTTACTTGACCGAGTACCAGGATGTCCTACTACAGAAAAGGTAACCTGTCAAGAGTCGGTAATATGAAAATGGTCTATTGCTGTACTATCTATCTCTATCTAAAATTACAATCTTACCTATCTACGACAATTACAGGCCCTATATCATTCAGTCTATGAATGTCTCTAACAGTGTCTATCAGATCAAAGGCTTTACATAACGGCTGGTCGTCTCTTGGCCAGTTGGAACAGGATATCATTTTTGTCATAAGAACATAGTCATCCTACAAATACATTTTGTAATCAAATTTACTTTAATTTATTTACCACCATATTTTCTCACAAAATCTGTTACCTTTTAATTATTTACACAACCTTTGTTTTAAACCATGATACTTGCTCTTCTTTATGGAAGCCTCTGTTTAAAGCCATGATACTTGGTACAAGAGATGATAAGAATACAAAACTTGTTATAAATTAATTTCAATGCTGCATCTTATGCAAACTTTAAAGTTGATTTCTTGTCTTTTGACTTTGAAATCAAATGACAGTTGATGCATTTACAATAGCCTTGTATTAGATTCTGTATAAATCTTATTCTAAAATCATTTTGCGCAGACCTTAAATAACTTTCACTGGTAAACATAAAGGATTTATCAACTATGTACTCATCAAAAGTAATCAAGATTTATTTTGTTTATGTGCAGTTCTGTCAATCATAGAAGCTATGAAAGGAAACCTTTATTAAAAAGTGACAAAAAGTATTGAAGTCCTGAAACATGAAAGAACTCCAATGTATATGTGAAAATTCTAATAACTTACACTGTCAATACTTTGAAATCTTTTTCCCAAAAACTTTGCCTCAAATTATGATCACAAATAGGTAAGGGCTGTTCTAGATATAAAAGCACTTTTATATACCCCAACCATCCATAATTTAAAATAATCGTTTTACTTATGATTCAAACAAAATTCTAAAGACAATACAACCACAATTTATCAATTTGAGTTCCTCCCATCCTCCCTTGTGTTTAAATCTGAAACAGTCCTAATTACATTCAGAGGATTATGCAAGCCAGATTGAAATTTATCATGTATAAGTTCAATTCTTTTTATCAAATTTACAAAACCCAAGTACTGAATTTGAGTAAGTCAAATTCTATAGCAATCCTAAAGATGGGTGCACTTGAGTTTTCTCTATATATCACCATATAAACTATTCAATGTCAGTTGTACAAGGATAGCATTTTGTCTGCAGTTAACACACATTTTAGGTGACTTTGTTTAGAAATCAAGGTAAAATTACCTGTGTAGATTCCAATAAGAAATCCCTAGTTGTATACATATAACCAGTTTCTTCTTCACGACATGTTAACTTAAATATTCCTGTGTCTACCTGTAGTGGATTATCTTCCTCTGGCCAGAACTTGATAAATTCCTGCTATAAAAGGATTACACATTATAGAGATGGTTAAAAATCCAACTATGGAATCAAATACCATTAACAGTATATTCAAGTGCAACTATTTTCTTGTCATTTAGGGATAATAATGTACATTTAATTTCTGCATGTTTTTTTTTTCTAATAAAATTAAAGATGCAAAGAAAATATGAAGCAAGTAAGGGCTATTCCATTAAAATGTATGTGGGAGGGTAGGAAGGGACTTTCAAAATATCCCTACAACCAAGAACCATTTTTTAGATAATTGTGCATAATGGTAATAGACACATACTGAAAACAGACCCATGACCCACATGCAATAATTAAACTTCCCTTCCTACCCTCCCACATACATTTTAATGGAATAGCCCTAATTAAACTGACAAAAAAAAATAGTATAACATGAAAAAGAGAATAACCATATATTTTCTGTCATTGCTGACTTTTTTAAACTCAATATAGTCCATGAGGCAGTAGAGTTTTAAGTATACCAGGGAAGTCATGAGGAGCTAAATATATATTTTTTATTTTGCCTAATGCATACACAGGCTTTATGTCTAGTGACAAATATTACATCTTTATTTGTGATAATAACATGTAAACTTAAGGAAATAACCTACTTTGTATTTTACTGCATACAGAAATAAATTATAACATGCTGGCTCTCAAGATAGCAATTCACATAAAGACATGTCACTCTACCCTAACACAAAGCTTGTAGCGTACTTCTTTGCTCTTTTTTTTAACTACTGATTCAATTACAGAGATGCAACAAATATCAATTTTCAAGTCATTGGTTTTGACAGGACCAGGGATTATACCCACAACCTCCCATACTAATTAAACCACCATAAAAAAGTTTAATTCATTATACTCTACAAGAACCAAAAAAAAAATGCAAATTTTCTTTATACCACCATCACCATGGAAATGCTTACCTCATCATCCACTATATCAGACAAAAGCACTATAACAGAACTATTTTTGTCCCAGACCATTCTCCAGAAATCCTCTATTGTAGATTCCATTGGATGTTGTGTTAAAATGAACTCATTGGTTTTTGTATATCCCTGAAATCATAAAAAAGTTGTCCTTTCAGCAATTAATTTCTATTTAAATAATGTGGCAACCAATAGACCCTAAAAGTGAATATAACATTTCACAGTAACTTTTTAACTTTAGGCATCAAGTACTGAGATATTTATTTTTAATTATTAGTCATGATTAAACATTTATTCGACTGTAATATAGCAACTTCCCTTAAAAAGTAAAATCATTTGCTTAAAGCACACACTATAATAGTAATTCACAGAGTTTGTATCCTTATGCTCTTCAATTTTCCAACTCCTCCATAGTGAAGCTGTCATGCTGAAAATTAAACTTTTAACTAAACGGATGTTCGTTGAACAATTGAATCTGTGGTACACCTATACCAACAAAATCCATAAAAATTGGTATCCCACGAATAATAATTTTTCCACAGTAACCAAAACCCCATAATGTGCACCCACTATATAACCCCTATAAATTTTTTTTTTTTTTTGGGGGGGGGGGGGGGGGGATGATAACTATATCACTCTTTACCTGAAGGAAAGTTGCATTAATATAATCAGATCCTGGTATCCCTGGTTTAGTGGGAATTTGGACTCTCTTGGTAGTCATGGGTACAAGTTCTTCTCTACGATTCTTTGGCACATTATATTCTTCCAAGGCTGGATATTTATCTATTTCTTTGGGACAATAAGCTACCAGAAGCTGAAATATATATTTGAAACATGTAAAAAGAGTAAACACACTACAGAAAAAAATTAATGATATAAATCAAATACCATAATATATTGAGTTTTTTCCTTATATTCAAGCTAATATAGTATGGAATACTTCTAAAGACATCTTTTTGATTTGCTATTTAAACTCAAGTATATTTTCATATTGGTAATCTTTGGTTAAATGTACCTAATATCCCCTTCTCAGTGAACACAAGCCACTAAGTTGTTAGGGACTATAGTGTTACCCATATCTGTCATTCAATAGAAATCAAACAGCTGCCTCTTTTCTTTATGTCTTCAGACATTGATCTAATTATGGTACATTAGCTGCTATTACTGTAGTATATAATGATCACTTACAGATAGAACTTACCTTTTGTCCCAGTTGATCCAATCTTTAACAGAACTACCACCCTTGGACTTAAAAAATTTCATGAAATTTATATTTACCGTACTTTTTATTGTAATGCCTGTGAACTGAAGCTGTCTTATGATAAATTAGTGTATAATGATGACTTATATATTTCAGATTTGAAATACTTGTGTGTTTAGATGTGATATTGCAATGTCCCATTCTAATTTCAAATTTAGGTATTATTGGCCCCACTCCTTTACCTTAAATTCATAAAAATTCTGTATGATAGCCAAGTAAAACTAATTTTTACATTGTCTTAAAAATCTACTGAAAAAATCTATATTTACCTCAAACTGTTTCTGAAGTAATGAAGATTTATCCTCCTGAATTTTTGTTAAGTTCTGTATATATTTGTTTATTTCACCATTTCTGACTTCTGTATCGTGGCTAAGTAAATATTCAACCAATGCATCATGAATTAACATGTACTGTTCCTAAAAATAAATATATAAGAATGCACTCATTGTTGTGATAAGCAAACCCCTACCTGTAGTTGAAAGTATTGGAAAACAGAAAGTAAGTATCGGACAGAAATGGAAAGCGCTTACACTTTACAACTAATCACTCTCAAACTGCTGACTAAATGTAGCCCTTCATTCAGTTCAGTTCTCTCAGAGAAAAGTGTAAAAAAGTTTTAAAGTTCATTCAATATATTGAAAATTCAAAAGCATCAGCACACAGGAAGTAGGTGTTTGACAGGAGGTCAGGTTACCTGAAAGGGCTCACAAACAGAAACAACTGAACTAAAACACCTTATTCCTATTTGTCCATCATTTTTGGACATGACAAGTGTTCCCCTAAAATTTTGAAATCACAAAAGATTTCTGATGCCACAACGCAAAAGTGATTGTTGTATGAAGTAAATATTTTAAGTGTTGAAGATCCCAAATAGTGATAATGTCTAAAAAACAAGAGTGAATATTATCTTACCTCCGTTTGGACTAGGAAATTTCTCTGCTGTCTAATTTTCAGTAAAAACTGTGGTATATTTATGGTACCCTTGTCTTTAAGCTGCTCTATCATAGCATCTATAAGGATGTAGGTACCAGTTCTCCCTACACCAGCACTGTCAAAACAAAATTAGAAATTTCCAATTACATTTCTTTCTCTTATTATTTCTTCTATTTTTTTTGAAACTCAAACTTGTAAAATAATTTTAAAAGCATTTTAATCAATGAAATGCTAAAAACTGAAATGAAAAAATAACTTTAATTTTAATTTATTGTAGTAATTAAACTATTTTTTAAAGACATTTAGACTCTGACCTTCTTCAGTTTCCATGAAGCTAAGAAGGAAAATAAAGAAATATTTACAAGTAAACAATTTTCAAAATATTGAAAAGTAATGTTTCCTTGAAAAAGTCCATACCTGCAATGTACAACAATGGGTCCAGCCCCTGGTGGATTAGCAAATGCTGATTTCTGTACAAATTTGAGTACAGGCAATGTAAAATCTGGTACTCCATGGTCTGGCCATTCTGTATAGTGGAATTGGTATACTATTCTCTCTGAAGATTGCTACAATTCAAAATTTACTTCAATGTGAAATCAGTAAGTATGGATGTAACTATAGATTCTACCATTGCATCGAGTGTGATACAATATTTATCCACTCTGCCTATCAAAATTTCAATGTTAAAAATATGAGGATTGCCAAGATTTTGAAATTTTGAAATTTTAACTGTTGAGATACATGAATTGTTTTATTATTTGTTATTGCCTTTGAAATAGCTGTCAGTAACTGTGAGTACTCTCAGATCTGGACTTAATTGTCCTTTTTGTTATTAGGGATGAAGGATGGATAATACCCTGCCACGTCTGGTCTGTGTTTATGTTTTATGTTTCCTGCATTGTATCAATCTGATGAGTTAAGCTTTTTTCAACTGATTTTTATAGCTTGTTTTTATGTTGTACTGTTACACCACTGTCCCAGGTTAGGGGGAAGATAAAGCGCTCACAGACATGTTTAACCCTGCCACATTCTTTATGTGCCTGTCCCAAGTCAGGAGCCTGTAGTTCATTGGTTGTCAATTGTTCATGTCTGTCATATTTGTTTTTTGTTAATTGTTTTGTTATAAATTAGGCTGTTAGTTTTCTCAATTGAATTGTTTCATATTTTTCATGTCAGGGCCTTTTAATAGCTGACTATACAGTATGGGTTTTTCTCATTGTTGTAGCCCGTACGGTTGCCTATAATTGCTTACATCCACTTCATTTGAACTTTGGTGGATAGCTGTCTCATTGGCAATCATACCTCGTCTCCTTATTTTTATATAGAGTAGAAAAATATCACATCGCACTAGATTTGATGGTGGAATCTGTTTTTCCTATGATTTTTATACGATATGTAGCTACATTTTATCTTTTTCAAAAATCTGCAAAAAGATGTGTTCTTTCTATGTGACTTCATCAGGCTGGTCACTTTTTCATGACAGCATAATAGGAAATTCAAAGGAAAGCAAGATAATTGAATTTTGACAAATAAAGAAATGAGATTACACAGACCACACATTGATTATTAAAAAATAATCAACCAATCAGGGAAAGTATAATTCAACTAAGAATTAAAGAAAAAAAATATTCATTTGCTTTTCTAACTATAGCTATGTAAAACTGAATTATGTGTATTGTTGCATGTTAAATCTGAATAAACCTTCATAATTACATGTAAGATGAAAACAAAACCATTCAGGCCCACTCAACAATTCAAATATTATTTCTTTTTTGTATTTTTTTTAACTTTGTGCTATTTTTTTTCAAACACAAACAGATGTTTTATCAGTTGAAACGTTTGAATTTTAAAAATAAAAGATATTACACAATTATTTTCTGTTTTGATAATTTTGCTGATTTCAGTGGTTCAGAAAAATTTGCTAAATTTAACAAGTGCCAGTATTTTGCAGAGTTTAATTTCTATGTTCATTTACAAACTGTATTTGACAATGCACTTCATTGGAGTTCTGGGATATTACTAAGACTGACCTAAAATTTGCCCTAATGATGTTCGTAAAACTATCAAATTTGATCTGTGTGTCAAATGTTGTTTTCTGCGAAACTGGAACACATTTTTACCAACCATGTTAAGTGTAAGTGACATTTGACCTTCTGGGGACATATATCCCTTTGAAAACTTTAAAGGTCACAAAAAGATACAATATACCATGTAATGGTTACCATTTGTCATGACTTACCTTTTTTGCTTTAGTATCTTTCAGCGAGAACATTCTAACAGTATAATGAGCTCTAGAAAATGTGTTCAAATGTTTAACAGCTATATTCCCATGCTGTTCCAGGCCTTCTTCTGGCCAATATTTATCACATTTTTTCTAAAAACAAAAACACAAAAAAATGTAATATTTTCAATAAAGTACCTGTTGCTTGCTTATCAATTTTTATCTTCAAATCTAAATATCTATTTAAATGAAAACAAAATTTACATGTAATAGAAACAAATTATCCCACACCAAAATAATTTGTTGCTCTTATGAACTCATTCACTCCTTAAATTTCTTTATTCTGTCTCGCTTTTTCACTCTGTCAAGGCGAGAGACAAAAAAATGTTTGGTCGTTCCTACATTTTGCAGAAAAATAAATTGAAAATACAAAAATGCTTTGTGGCCTCTCATGAATGTAATTTCATAGAATGGAAAATTTATGATTTTATTTTTTTATCAAATTCAAATGGTCAATGAGATAGTTTATTTTTAATATACAAGGAAAATAAAAATACCTGAAAATCATATTCACACATCCAATTTTATATCCTTTATGACTCATATGAAATAAAAAAAAAAAAAAAAAAGGCAAACAACTGACTCATCATGTGACAACTTAACTTACCCTTCCTTTTTCCATTAGTTTAGTAATCATCACTATGACAACAGACTTCTGCTCCCAGACCATTCTCCAAAAATCACCAAATGTTGATGGCATTGGTCCCTGTGTAGCTATATAGGCTTTGGATTTGTGATATCCCTGCATTAAAAAGTTAAATCTTCACAAAAATGACAGAAATTAATGTAAACACTGTAATAAATCTGCTCATCCTACACTATAATAATATATAAGACTTGATTATGATGTATTTGTAATGGTTGATGCAACACTTTTTATGTTATGGTGTATTCCTAGCAATAAAAATTAAATACATTCTGTTTTTGAAGACGCTTTTCAATTATTTTGAGAGCGAAAAAAAAAAAAATCACAGCAATCAATATACATGCAGTATTACAGTTAGTGGATTTCATAGTACACTTAAATCACAGAATTTCAAACTTAGCAAATGTCATATCTCACCTGGCTTGTTTTATCATGTTCATAGTCTAAAATTATTAATAGAACCTTTTTCTGTACTTAAAAAAGTCTTACAAGTGAACTTATAAAAGACCTCACTACTTTACTTGCCACTAATGACTTTAATTTGAATTTTACCTGGAGCTTCTGTAAGGTGAGGTTAAAATAATGCTCCAGCAAAAACATGTGACTTATCTTAAATTTACATGGGTTCAACCTGAACAATTTATTTCAACACATATAAAATTAAAATAGAACTGACTAAATTTTTTAAACACCAGTGTAAAGTTTGATGTAAAATGAAATATATTTTCAATTTGAAGATTGCTGAAATTTGGAATGACAAGATTTCCATAAATCATTTCCTTGAAGATATAAAATGTAAAATATATCAAAAATTGAAAAAAATGTAGATAGGTCTGTGTTTCTGAGTGAAAGCATTTGATAAAAAAGTAGAACTTTTTGCTGGAAAGAGACATGTCAGTTTTTTTCATAAAAATATGAAGAAAGAAATAAATGTAAACTGAATGACAAAATAAGATAAAAATAACAAAAATTTGAATTGTTCGGTCAGAAGTGTATTTTTTTTTCAATTTTGAGTGATATTAAGATTGGCTGGGGGAAAAATCCATGTTTTGCCTAAGAAAACCCCAGAACTGTTAAATATTTTAGAAAAGCTGATAAAATGAGGAGCAACCACTTACAACAATGGATCAATTTAGAAATACTATTCTGTCCTCGTATATTATGCTGCAAATTTGATTTCCTCATATATGAATTATGGACAAATCAGAAAGTCCTAGCCAGAGACATATCCATATACAACACCATTCTCAGGGAATTCAAATACCATATGGATTACATAAAACATTCCTGTCATTTTTGTTTTCTTAACCTACTACTAAAACCCATTTTCATGATGTTTTTGGTTCTCTTTTTTTACATTCTGTGTGCAGAAGGCTATATAAATTATCTTTATTTTACACATTTCAATATTCACAGAATGACTTACATAGACAAAATTGGGAAATCAAAACTATTTCAACTATTTCAATTTTAAGTGACAAGATTTTTGTCCTAATATAACAGATGATTCCTTATCAAGAGACAATCAAACTGTAAATTTTACTTACATCAACATAATTAGCATTTATATAGTCAGACTGTCTGATTTTTTCACTTATAGGTGGCTTCGATAAATATACTCTGGAATGATCAACTGAAAAAAAAAATAATAATAAAACAATTTAGGTACCGTAATCAATTCAAATAATAAATCTGAGTTTCAAGCAATAAATCACTCTCTTCCTCATTTGTAACATTTTTTATAATTTCTATAATTTCTTGAATAAATTCATTAATAAATGGAGACTGTGATCATGGGACACAGGGACATAACTCAAGAATGGTAAAATTGACGCAACCCAAATTCGAACTTAATCTGTGTTTTGTGGTAATACGCTATAGGTTGAGGCAAACTAAAGCTAGAGAAAGGAAACCAATTTTGGGACGTACAAAAGGACAGACATACAGACGGACAAGGGTAACACTTAATGCCCCCTCTGCTGTGGCAGGGGCATAAAAACAGTTTTACTTGAAATCCATTAAAAACATCTTAAATCAGATGTGATTCGCCTTTTTCATCTAGACTTTTTGATAAGATACAAATAACACCGTTTTATTGATAGGACAATTTGTGCTTGATAGAACAAGAGTGCACATGCTGAAATGTCTCGCCTGCTTCACTGACCATTAATCTTATGTTGATAGTCCTAAATATAAAGCTTTACTACAATATCACATAAACTTTGCATGATCCAAGAAAATGAGGTCAAGGTCAGATAAACTATACCGGAAATACATTTACACCTTACAATCACACCAAATATAGTTGACCTATTGCTTATAGTTTCTAAGAAAAAAATTTAATCAGGAAAACTTAACATTGACCAATGAACCATGAAAATGAGGTCAAGGTCAGATGAACCATGCCAGACAGACATGTACACCTTACAATCAATCTATACATTAAATATAGTTGACCTATTGTTTATAGTATTTAAGAAACAAACTTGACCATGAAAACCTAACATTGACCAATGAACCATGACAATGAGGTCAAGGTCAGATGATACCTGCCAGACAGACATGTACACCTTACAATCATTCCATACACCAAATATAGTTGACCGATTGCTTATAGTATCTAAGAAACAAACTTAACCATGAAAACTTTACATTGACCAATGAACCATGAAAATGAGGTTAAGGTCAGATGATACCTGCCAGACAGACATATACACCTTACAATCATTCCATACACCAAATAAAGTTGACCTATTGCTTATAGTTTAAGAAAAACAGATCAAAACACAAAAACTTAACACTGAGCAATTAACCGTGAAAATGAGGTCAAGGTCAAATAAAATCTGCGAGACTGACATGTACATTGTAAAATATTTCCATACACCAAATATAGTTGACCTATTGCATATAGTATTAGAAAATAAATGTGGATAGTGTCCACATGTGGACACAGATGATGCCCCCGCTTGCATATCATATAGTTATAAAGGGACATAACTCAGGAACGGTAAAAGTGACGCTACCCAAATTTGAACTTGATCTGAGTTTTGTGGTAATAAGCATTGTGTGTAAGTCTCATAACATTTGGTTGAGGCGAACTTAAGTAGAGAACAGAAACTAAAAATTCAGCAATTTTCCTATTTGTAAACACGCATAACTTTAGAACGGTTGTGTATAAGTTTTATAACATTTGGTTGAGACAAACTAAAGTTAGAGAACGGAAGCGAAAAATTCAGCAATTTTTATGTTTATAAAGGGACGTAACTTAAGAATGGTAAAAGTGTCGCACCAAATTTCGTACTTAATCTGTATTATGTAGTAATAAGCATTGTGTATAAATTTCATAACATTTGGTTGAGGCAAACTAAAGTTAGAAAACGGAAACAAAAAATTTGTACTTGATCTTAGTTTTGTGGTAATGAATATTGTGTATAGGTTTCATAATGTTTGGTTGGGGCAAACTTAAGTTACAGAATGGAAACTAAAAATTTTGCAATCTTTCAATTTATAAAGGGGCATAACTCAATAATGGTTAAAGTGACACTACCCAAAATCAACTTGATCTGTGTTTTATCAGTGGAAGTCAAAATTAAACATTGCATTGTATAAAGCATTGATTGTAGTTGATTCAACTATAATCATGGACAAAGGAAGATAACTCCAATTTTAAAAATTACTTGATATTTAGAAGAAAATAAAAATTTTGCAATTTTTCCATTTATAAAGGGGCATAACTCTAGAGCGGTTATATTGATGCCACCAAAATTCAAACTTGATCTGTGTTTTGTGGTAATAAGCATTGTGTATAAGTTTCATAACATTTGGTTGAGGCAAACTTAAGTTAGAGAACGGAAACTAAAATTTTTGCAATTTTTCCATTTATAAAGGGGCTTTACTCTAGAACGGTTAAAGTGACGCCACCAAAATTCAAACTTGATCTGTGTTTTGTTGTAATAAGCATTGGGTATAAGTTTCATAACATTTGGTTGAGGCAAACTTAAGTTACAGAACGGAAACTAAAAATTTTGCAATTTTCCCATTTATAAAGGGGCATAAACTCTAGAACGGTTAAAGTGACGCCACCAAAATTCAAACTTGATCTGTGTTTTGTGGTAATAAGCATTGTGTATAAGTTTTTTAACATTTGGTTGAGGCAAACTCAAGTTAGAGAACGGAAACCAATTTTGAGATGGACGTAACAGACGGACAAGGGTAAAACTTAATGCCGTAGCGGTGGCATAAAAAGACCAAAACACAAAAACTTAACTTTAATCATTGAACAATGAAACTGAGGTCAAGGACAGATGACACCTCCCAGTTGGACATGTACACCTTACAATCATTCCATACACCAAATATAATAGACCTTTTGCTTATAGTATCTAATATATGGAATTGACCACGAAAACTTAACCTTGTTCTCTGATCCATGAAATGAGGTCGAGGTCAGATGAAAACTGTCTGACAGGCATGAGAACCTTGCAAGGTAGGCACACACTAAATATAGTTATCCTATTACTCATAATAAGAGAGAAATTAACATTACAAAAAATCTGAACTTTTTTTTCAAGTAGTCACTGAACCATGAAAATGAGGTCAAGGACTATGGACATATGACGGACAGAAACTTCATAACATAAGGCATCTATATACAAAGTATGAAGCATCCAGGTCTTCCACCTTCTAAAATATAAAGCTTTTAAGTAGTTAGTTAACGGCGCCGCCAGATCACTATCCCTATCTCCTAAATAATTCTTTATCCAAGTACCATAAAAATGGTTTACGGTCAGTGAAAAAAATAGGGTCAGTCAAGTAACAGTATACACATCTTTTTTGCCCTGGTGGTGTTTAGAGATATTAATTCACTCAAGATGTTTTGTATGAATACAAAGTTATACTTACAAGCTGTTATATTTACATATCTATTCTTTGATTTATTTTCATGCATATTAGATGTATCTGCCTTAAGGTCTGTTCGCGTGTTTTTGTTCACATCCTAAAAATAAAATATATACTTATAAATAATTGACACATAGATAAAAAAAGGTACAGGTATATTACCATGCTAGTCTTAAATAAATATTGTGCATTATTCATTAGCCTTCAAGCAAGCTTAATGTTTTGAAGGATGCATTTGACCTTTTAATGTAAAATGATGAAAGATTCTTGTAAAACAGCAAAAATCCTGTACCTCATCCATACCCATTCAAATCCCTGCATCTGTATTTCAGAAGGCTGTAGGATCATTATATATAGATGTTTACTTTGCATCTGATTGTTTTGATTTTTAACACCACCTTGTGACCTACTTTCAATTATCATTTGAGGGTCTGGATATAGGGGTCTTCATTTCTGTATTCATCAAATTTTAACACCATATTTTCCTATTCTTATTTTTGTAATTCAAAAATGATTCAACTTCCAGCCTCATAAAAGGAGAAAATTATAAATATTTTCCTATTCTTATTTTTGTAATTCAAAAATGATTTAACATCCAGACCTCATAAAAGGAGAAAATTATATTATAGATGATTTAGTAGATTTTTGCCAACCTCCACACCAAATATAATTACCAAGAAGCATGGACTCAAATAAGTGTATGTCTGAGGTCGGGGACTTTTCTTTTTTAGGAGGGGACTTTTCATTTTTGAATTACAAAATTTATTTTTGTTGCCATTATTTTCCAATTTTAATATTTAGCACCCAATTATTCTCTATTCCTAATTTTTTTGGCCATTTTTCTCTATTCTGTTAAGCCCCATCAAGACCATATGAATATCAGAATTTATTTGAATCTAACTTACACTATATTCTTGTGAGAATTTATCATCTGTGTCGGCATGCAATATCTTTACATGATGAATAAAGTCTTCTACTTTTACTTCAGGATAACTCTTCTCAACTAAAAAAGAAACACAATACAACATGTACAAAAAAGATTAAAAATAAATAAAGAATGTGTTCTGTTACAGAAAGATTGATTGTTGTTTGTTAAACAACCAGTGACAAATATCTCACACATGTTCAGAACAAGAAAAATTTACAAAACATTTCTATGTCATGTATGTAGGTTCCGCAAAATGGGTTATCTGGTAAGAAGAGCTTGGAATTTCTACTGCCACTGGGAAAAGAGGGTATGGTGGAAAGGGCAGATATTTCCCCGACAACAAGACAACTATGAAACTTTATAAACTGTTGTTGCATAGATTATTTAATGCACAGAGCTTGGCACCTTCCTACATGAGGCATCAGATTCAACATCCAGACCTCATAAAAGGAGAAAATTATATTATAGATGATTTAGTAGATTTTTGCTAACCTCCACACCAAATATAATTACCAAGAAGCATGGACTCAAATTAGTGTATGTCTGAGGTCGGGGACCTTTCTTTTTTAGGAGGGGACTTTTCATTTTTAAATTACAAAAGTAAAGGACCTCCCATTCTTGACACTGATTTTTCATGGAATGGGCCATCGACTCTCTTAAGGAGGACCTTTCACTTACCCCATTCATTATTTAATGCAAATTTGACCCCTGCAAAGAAGTAAATCTTAACTTTAAAATGTGACTTACCAAATGGTTCTGCTATGGTTATGACAGTTGAAGGAAAATGATTAGAGTTGGTTGGTACAGCCAAGTAATTGTAAGCAGCCTGGTAATATTTTCTGCAAGTTAATGATCTGAAACACAAAATATAAAGTCAAATCAAATAATGGTAATAAAAGTCAAAAAGAGTAAACAATAATATATCAGTAGATTTCTTGAAATGGTTTTATAATATTTAGTCACTGCTTAGATCACTTAGTTTTAGATTTCTAGTTTAGTTCAGTGTAAAATATGTCTTAATGTCTTTAGATACTTCACTTTAAAGTTCTTATAATTGAAAATACATACTGTAATGTTTTGCATAAAATATACCCTTTTTTTGTTTTTTTTGTTTGTTTGTGAAAGTGTCTTTTGGTCTTTTTTCATATTTTAATTGATCTTGAATAAGGTAAATTTGATCTGAATATCCTCATTTGCCAAAAGAATTAACATAGAAAAAATCATCACATCAATTTTTCTAAATATAAACTATATTTTCAGTTAATCACTGTGTTTTTTTAAATTTTTTCCCCATACACAAACTATTTTGTTTTCAGGTTTTCTTACCTACAACCAATGAATACAAGTGAAGCCAAGAGTACAACCAGTATCCCACAAACGATGCCTGCCACTATACCAGCAGACATTATGTCCTGCTCAGCAGCTTGAATGGCTCTCGGATCTATAAATATATTAATAGGATAAATAAAATCTTATACAAATATCATCCTAGCATTTCAATGATACTTCATACCTCATTTTTTATTGAAAAGAATTTTATGATTTTACAAATATAAATGATTATATGAGGTTTACAAAGACAACACACAGCTCATCGTTTCAGAAATGTATCCATACTTTTTAGAGAAAAAAATAACAAATAACATATGAATGCTATGTAGTATCACACTGTATGTACTGCACTTTACATCAAAATATCTAAAAGAGAACCTTTTATTTTAACTGAAACACTCAGACCAAAAGATATATAAAAGTTTTTCTAATTTTTTTCTTAATTTTAGTAACCTACGTTTTTACACATTTCTGAAATTGATGAACTACACAGAAAACAAACACACACATTGGATGAGAACACAGAAAGCAAATGAAGCAAAAATGATATGAATCAATTATACAATTTATACATTTAATACATATCACAATTAAGTGTCTCAAAATTACTTCAATAAGTTTTGTATTATATTTTATTTAAAGATATTCAGTGACATGGTTAAGGCCTTCGGGTAACTAGATGAAGAACAGCAATAAAAGGACTTTTTCTTAGATGTAAAAATATTTAATAATCCAAGTATAACAATCCCATGTTCATTCTTTTCTAAATACTCCATTTCTAACAAAGTTTACATGAGACAAATGACCTATCAATCATAATCACATATCATTTAATATTTCTAATCAAACCAATCAAATTGAACCATATTACACTCCTTTTTTCCCCAATGTTAATATTTCCCTTATCCATGATAAAAAAATTTAAAAACTACTATTAAAATGAAACAAACCATATTAAAACTGAATTACGAACAGAAATTAAAACATGCATATTAAACAAGATTTCCAAGTACCAATGCAAACAAAATGGAATTTTTCATTCATTAAAATAAGTCGAAACAGATCTGTTAAACAAATTACGAAATCCAAACTAATGAAATGAATGTTTAGAAACTTATATACCAGAAGGGATATCTGAAAAATATAGAATTTATTTGATCAGAGTAATATTATTAGAATCAATTTTGTCATCAAATTTTCAATGGCCATAATTTTGCCACAAATCTGACAAACAATAACTAACATCTCTAAATAATCATTGTACACTCATGTACAAAAAAATCATATGCAGATCTGCAGGCTTACACCAAAAAAGTCCAAAATTTTGACGAAAAAATTAATTTGGTCAACTGTATACGAAAAGCAAACTCAAACTGTTGTTAACATCATACGCCAATGTAACAAAAATCACCTTCATAGCTGTTAGGTATAATTAATAAAAGTTCAGACAACTCTTTGATTACAGAAGGATGGAATGACAGACAAAATTCCTTGGGTGACCTTAGGCACTATATTCTGATCCACAATGAAGAAAATATTTTGTAAACACATTATTTTGTTGTGAAATTTCACAACTGCCACACCATCTAGATAAATTTAAATATTAGTTCCTCAAAGACCCACAGAAAGTTTTTCAATATTATATCTGTCAATAATTGTTTTCTTCATTTGGTAAGTCAAAGAAAAATTCGTAAGGGTTCCGCGGAACCCAGTGTCTCGCCTACTTTTGCTGTTAATCGCAGGCTCAACAAAAATGAGGAAAAAAATTAATAAAAATATTCCTCTCTATACTATCTTTTGATTGTAAGTAGCTTCTGTCCAAGTTTGGTAAAAATCCAGGATAATTTATGAATCTAATAAATGTTTTAAAAACTTAAACTGCAGACTGTATGTAATGTTGACTGGAAGAAAAACTAAGTCCATTTATAAGTAAAATACGGAAAAAATGGAACAAAATTTTATCAAAATTTCCTTCTAGATACTAGCTTTTGATCATAAACAAGCTTCTGTCCAAGTGTGGTACAAATCCAGGATAGTTTAAGAAAGTTGTTAAAATTTTAAAAACTTTAACCACAGAGTGAATGTAATGTTAACTGGCAGAAAAACTAAGTCCATTTATAAGTAAAATACGGAAAAAATGGATTTTTTTTTTCAAAATTTACTTCTGGATACTATCTTATGATCATAAACAAGCTTCTTTCCAAGTTTGGTAGAAATCCAGGATAGTTTAAGAAAGTTATTAAAATTTCAAAAACTTTAACCACAGAGTGAATGTAATGTTTCCTGGCAGAAAAACTAAGTTCATTTTAAGTAAAATACGGAAAAAATAAAAATTTTTTTTTTACAAAATTTACTTTTGAATATAATCTTATGATCATAAAAAAGCTTCTGTCCAAGTTTGGTAGAAATCCAGGATAGTTTAAGAAAGATATTAAAATTTCAAAAACTTTAACCACAGAGTGAATATTTGTGGCCGCCGCCGCCGACGACGACGGAATGTAGGATCGCTATGTCTCACTTTTACAACAAAAGTCGAAGTCTCGACAAAAATCATAGTTATTCAGTCTTTTAGTAGTGTTTGATGCATAGTTTATCTATAAACATTCTGTAGTCCTAAATGCTCTATCAAAACAAACAAAATTTAAGCCATACTGGGTAAATCTAAAATTTACACAGCCATAAATTTAAAAAAACATAAAAACAAATGCAAATTAAAAACCAAAACTTGTTTATCAATTTTTGGTGAGTTGGCTACTATGTGGTATAAAACATGCAACCCAGCCACAGTTTTACCAATCAAGATGTAATGCAGTGATATTTTTTATTTTGGTAAAGAAATTTATCCTTTAAAACTTTAAAATCATAATTATCCTACAAAAATCTTGAAGTTATTACATATTTTCAAGTCAAAATCCCTTCCCTAAATTAATCACCATTCCACTATAAACGAAATTTCTAAATTCAAACATTAAAATACTTCACATATTCTGCACAGATTTCAACATGAATTCTTGAATGTAAAACTGTGGCTTGTAACCTAGATGTGGGGTGAAAACCAATACACATTTACAACATTTGGTCACCTGCTACAATAACATTGGTAATGTTTGAATGATTGGAGTGTAACTCTGCTTCTGTTGTGTTACTCTCATTGCCACCTGAGAAGTGAAAGGTCAAAATATAGGTCAATACTGGTAACAAAAATGAACATAACTACTCAAAAAATATTTTCCTGAAACAATTTTTCATCTCCATGGCAAAACAATAAAGTTTATTGAATAAACAAATTATTATTTTGTGTTCAGTTAATAAGCTTTAAGTCTGTGTTGAAAAATTGTCACAAAAAGCAAATTTATATATTTTTGTTAATTTCTATAAAAATGGAAAGCGTGAGACATTATCTGCATTAATGCTATGAGTCAATTATGCTGAATATTCCATTTTTTCTAAAATTAACTAAATAATTCTACCCCTTTGGCATAGGATTGGGTGCAAAGTGTTTTGTAACACTGAGTATAGGTGCTGTTTGTTTGACAATATTTAGTTTACTCTGCAAGCAATATATACACTTTTGTCAAGATATAAAGTTGCAATGTACGTAATGGTTTCCATTTAATAGAACAAAACAAAGAATGGTAGGCTTTACTAAACATTCAAGTTATAATCACAGAATGAGTCAAAATAATACAATATCAGAGAATGATACACTTTTTTCCCCTAATCTATAAAGAAATTAAAAGTTTACACGTACAGTCAAACCTGCTAATAAAAGGTCACCTCTATTAAATGAAAACCTGTCTTGTCAGGGACACTCTTTTAGTCTTACTGTAGAAAAAACTATGCATTTTGAATCTCAATTCTAAAGTCACCTCTCTTTAAAGATAAGTTTTAGCTGATCCCAAGGGTGACCTTTATAAGTAGGTTTGACTGTGTATACATAATATCTACACATTAAAAAAAGGAATACATCTTTGGTCTAAAAATAGATATCACTTTTAGTGAAAATAAATATGTGAATAATAATTGTGCTTTATAGCCTACTTGTGGGAGATAATAACTTGAGACTGATATATATATATTGCATGCTTTGTTTAAACCAAGTGAATGCACACAGTTAATACAAGGGGAAGATAATCACCTTTGGTGGTCAGCGAGTCTCCTACAATTTTAAAAGCGTTCACTCTTAGTATATAGCACACAGAAGGTGAAGTTATCAATGATGAGGGGGAAAATATATAGTTATCTGATATTGGATTATATGGGGAACTTTTTTATGTTTTGATGTCCAAATATAAAGCTTGTCAAAAAATATCTTCAAACGTATAAGATACAGATGTGAGCCCTATTGCGTAGATCTAACTACCCCATGATATTATGATAAATGCAAAATACAAACTTTCAATTATTCAGGAGGGGGGTCTTTCAGCAATTTAACCTAATTTCATGGTAAAGCATGATATATAAAGGTTATCCAATAGCATTAAACGGCATCATATGGTGAAAGTAAATCAAATTTATCATCTTTTTGAATAATTTTTACAAATCTGTATGAATGTATTTTTTTTTTATATATCTACTATAAATCAACAATTAAATCCAATAAAAGTACCAAAGACAACCTTGAGATCAGTTCTTCCCAATAAAATACAATTTTCCCAAAATTATGATAGGAAAAAATGTGCAGAACACTCAAAGTTCACCATACATAAGAGTTAGTATATAAAATTAAGAAAATATAACATGAAAATTCACCTTGGAGATAGAAGAATTCTGTAGCAGAATAATTTCCAGGATACTGATGAGCATTAAATAGACTCTGAGTAAGTCCAGCGATCCTGACAGAATAATGCCGATTAGAGGGTAAATCACCAATAGAAGATTCAATCCACGTCATATCGTTGGATTTTACGACCTAAAACATACATATAAGTATTAATTATACGATTGTTTAAAAATTAAATGTATGGAAAGAAGATCAGATGTCAGATACTTAATTTTTTTATTGTGGAACTTCACACTCTTTTCACAAAAAATCTTATGATTAAATTCAATTGTAAGTTAAACTGAAATGTTCATAACTTATAAGTATGTTTACTATTAGGATTTTTTGTGAAAAGAGCAGCTGCTTTTAGAACAACCATAGCATATTAATTTTCATATGATGTGTCTTTGTGCCACAAGACATTTAGAATATAAAACTAATAATATATTATGCACCTGAATATCTGGAATAACAAGTGAATCTGTGAGCTACTGCTCACTAATGATACCCATGCCCCGCTAAAAGTATAAGGTAAACAGGAAGTTGTTGAGTGATGAATCTGAAAACGCATCACACAGTATAATTGACTCATATAAACCCGGAAACCAAATTTCAGAAATCCTTGTAATGTAGTTCCTGAGAAAGATGCGACGAAAAATATTCATGGGACGGACGGACGGACAAAAACAGACGGATGGATGGACGGACGGACAGACAGAGGTAAAACAGTATACCCCCACTTTTTTAAAGCGGGTATAAAAATACCATTATAGGTAGACCTTGATATATTCATTATATACATCTGATTAAATCTTAATTTACACAATACATACTTCCATAACACAAATGCATAAAAAATATTCTACCATGGAAAATTTCTAGCATATAAACTTAAAGGAGTCTCTCTAAATTTTAAACATTCTGGTATAGACTCTAAATTTTAACGTATTTTTCTCTGCATTTTCTGGAAAAAGCTTTTTAGAAAGGTACTTTGATTCTTTTGTCTTTTTGGTAGTTGTTTTTGTGCTAAATATGAATCTGATGAGTCAAGCCCTTTCGAGCTAATTTTTACATGTTTGTTCTTATGTTGTGCTGTTCATACACACTTTTCCAGGTTAGGTGGGAGGATTGAGCACTCACAAACAGTTTAACCCTGCTTTATTTTTTATTCTTCTGTCTCTCATGGATATATAGTTGTCTCATAGGCAATCATATCTAATTTACTATTTAAAAATGCTTTTGTTAATTTACAGTACATAGTACAGTTAAGATAGGTTTGAATCATGCTTTCTAATAAATATTAGACAAACTAGACATCATTGAGATGGGAGCCATCTCTGTGGGCCCTGCTGACCTTGAACTTTGACCTAGGAAGTTGTACAAAAATTATGACACACCCTCTGGTGTTCGTTAATATACATGTCAAGTATAAAATATGAAATTATAACGGTTCTCTAGATATAGAGCAGACACAATTTGTTACTGACAACGGACAGACTGATCACTATAGGACGACCCGCCACTAAGCAGGACCGTAATAAATGAAGTCAGAAAATGAAAATTCTACATGTGTGACATTTAAAGTTAAATTCTATAAGTAGATTCTGTATGATTGCAAATGAGACAACCTTCCACCATAGACTAAAGGAAAAGAACTGTATGCTCTATATGTAAAAGGATAGGAATAATAACAACAAAAATTTACCTCATATTGTTTTTCAGGAATCTTTTTAATCTCCTTAAAGTATGAGTCAAGATCGATAAATTCTATTAAATATTCTTCCACATCACGATAGAACTTTTCTGGACGTAGCCATCGTAGATAAACTGTATCTGTCCCCATTGTTGTAGCATTTAAAATAGTAGGTGCTCCTGGTGCTAAAATCAATAAAGCAGTAAATTTATTATCATATCATGTTTTAAATGGATACCTCATCCTTTCATGTATTCATTTTTTATGTTTCTTCAGCGTTTAGAAGAATTATAGATCTATCAAAATTCAATGAGTGCATGTTGTTTCAGAAAATCTACAGGAAAGGAACAAGAGCATAATATGTATCTGCTTACTAACTTTTAAAAAAAGAGGTAGGAGATACCATTGGGACAATCAAAAACCATGTTTCCCCTGGGTCAATTTTCTTTTTCACCATCTCTTTTGCCAAAGCAATATATTTTTCACCACTTTCAATTTTTTCGCCAACTTACATAAACGTATTTATCATTTAAAATTTTCCTTCTTTTTATAAAAAAAATTTCAGTTTGCAGCATCGTTGTCTAATCATTTATAATTCTACATTTTTACTATCTACATTGACATAAATAAAAACTCAATGATAATTAATAAACGTTTACTTTTTAAAAGATACAGTAAAATTGAAATATAAATTCAATGTGTATAAATCATGAAATCATTATATTTGACTTCAGGGAACACAAATTTCATCTTTAATAAATTTTCCAGTTGAAGGATAGAGACAAAATTAGGAGACTTTTCATCTTAACAACAGTTTTCTTTTCTGGACCATCAGTAAAAGAAAAAGATGAGGTCATCTACCCACCAAAATATAAAGCTTTATAAAACATAGTTACACTGTGGCCGCTGCAAGATTGTAAAACAAAATGCTTATTTACTTGAAAGAAGAAAAAAAGTTCAATGCCTTTTGTAATTTAAAACAACTACATGGATAGCGTTGTAGAAATTTCAAAATTCATCTACTGTCCTTGACCTTTGACCTTACCTGTGACATCTGTCATAGCAGGATATCTATCACTAAATTCGCCTTTGCCACCACCCGTTACAGCCCTTACTCTTACATCATACTGGGTATAAGGCTCTGAAAAAAATGAAGTTCATCTTAACTTATTGGGTAAATTTTGTGCTGTGTACATTTTACAATTAGGTGTCTTCCCTAAGATAATGTTTGGAATATAGAATGAAAGTGTCTAAAATATTCACAAATTTAAACACATCCAAATGGTTCAAAGTATTTACCTTTTACAAATGATATACCTATCTAATTCCTATAAACTAATTACTGCAACACTAAGTACGGCAGAAAATTTCAATGTTGTTCAATGGAAAGTACATCAAGGGTGCATATAATTTCATTTGATTTAAACTTAAGATTTAAAAATATCTAGAGTAAATTCAGAAATTTTTATATAAATCTATTATTAGGATTATTGAACAAAAATGTGGGATTTTATTAATACAATTTCAGAAAATTTGCATACAAATAATCCTATCAAAAGTTAAAAAAAAAAAACTTAATTTTTGTGAAACCTGTCCTGTTGCAATTTTTGCCATACAAATTTTTTTTTTCAAATCTCAGAATTAACAGTTTATTTTGACCACAAATCTGTTAACCATACTTCCATATATCTTCCAACTAAGTTCTCACTTCTATACAATCATTGCATACCTAAGTTAGTGATATTTTCTGAAATTTTATTTCTCAGTACACCATTAATAACTTTAGTCCTGACAACACCAGTATTTGTGTTAATCCACTGTAGTTCATAACTTTGAAGTCTTCCATTGATGACCTTTGGTTCTACCCAATGAACTTTCACAGTAGATGGTGTATTTCTTGATATGTGAGTGATTCTTGGTTTTGATGGTTCTAAAACAAAAATAAAGAATTAATTTTAATAGAAATTTCTTTTCTTTCTCTGTAAGTCACCAAGAACAAAATTTATGTTAAATTGAATAAACTGCTTCGCCGAGCGCAGCTGGATACGACCGCAGCGGTCCAACCCTGAACAGTTGGGGCAAAAATGGACACAATATTCAAGCTTAATACAGGTCTGAATTTGGATTAATTTGTAATTAAATATTTGACACATTAGGTTTCTGACACAGAATAAATGTAGTCAAAGAACCTGAAATTGGTTATATGATTTGAATTTATATTCAATTGAAGATATCTTGCTTTTCTGCAATACACTGTGCTGTTGCGCAATACTTAGTAAATCTGTTTTCAGACTATATACAAAGAATTAGCAAAATAAATTGTGACCCCAAATTTTTCTTTGGAAAATTGACAATTTCTTAAATCTTGAGGGAAAAAAAAAAGGTGGGAGGGGGGTCCCACCTTTTTTTTTTTTAAATAACATTTGCAGAAATTTTCTTTTTGTAAAATGTGGTACAAATTAAGAGACATCATTACACATAAACACAATTTATTGTCTGAATACTCGGAAAATGCATGTTTTAGACCCTTTTTGGCCCCTAATTCCTTAACGGTTTGGGCAACTACCCCAACAATGAATCCCAACCTTCTATTTGTAGTATTGAACCTTGTGGTACAATTTCAGAGCAATCAAAATACTTATACACAAGTTATTGTCTTGAAACTAGAAAAATGCTTGCTTTGGCCCCTTTTTGGCCCCTAATTCCTAAACGGTTGGGACCATCACCCCCAAAAACAATCCCAACCTTCCTTTTGTGATATTGAACCTATTGTTTGAATTTTAATAGAGATCCATACACTTAAACTAAAGTTATTGTCCGGAAAACAAATGTCTTCGTTTGACGACGACGACGTGATAGCAATATAAGACCCCAAAATTTTTTTTGCGGTTGTATAAAATCAATACTGTTGACATTTTGAATACCTTTAATAACAACTTATGTTTAACACCTCTTTTTCTAAAGACATGATTTTACAATCCGTATGATTGCAAATTCAATGGTCAAACATCTGATGTCTCATCAAAAGTTTTTTTTTTGTTTAAAGCTCCCAATGGCTGTTCCAACTTCTGGCTCTGTGCTTTAATGATGAAAATAAATCATAAAATTTGCATTGGACCCAGTAAAAACAGAACTGTTCAAGATCCAGTTACCGTTAGAAATCCATAATTTTCTTAAATGGCAGGTGATTGTAACTAGACATTCACCAGTATGTTTTAATTTCACAAATCTATCCTTCTTTTAGAAATTTCAAAATATCAAGTTGAACTGTGGGCTACTGCTAAATAATGTAATATACACTACTGATCCTTACTTCCTTCAGCAGTAACTACAGCAGCATTAGCAACAGGCCCAGGTCCCTCTGTATTTAATGCTGCAACCTGGATAATGTATTCAGTGTAGGATTTCACACCTGGAATATCAAGTTCCTGGAAAAAAATTACACACTGATCAAAACTTAAGGTTGTATTTGTAGATTAAAGTAAATTTAGAGGCTTTTATGCTTGTGACTTTTAATTCTGGATTTCATTTTTACAAATACTTTTACAATTTCCATACTGCAAATTAGTAGTTTTTCCACCATTGTAATGACTTTGAGAAGGTTTGAGAAGAACAAAAGGGCAAAACACACTTTTTCCTTAATCCACAAAAATTGGTACCCACGTAAATAAATGATTCCACAGTATATTACATCACTAACAAAGATAGTATACCCTTATATATTTTGATTTACATTGACAACATCAAAGAATCATTTAAACTGTCTCTCTTCTTGAGTGACCTGAATGTCAAGCTTTGAAAATTAATCAAAATCATACAAAAAATGTCCAAACCTATGAACCACTTTCCTTTCATTCCTTTGATGCAATCCATTGTTTTCATTTTGGCTTAAAAACTACCCACAGAACTACAGATTTAGGAAGTGATTTTAATTACTTACAGTTTTAATTTTAATTACTTACAGTTTTATCTGTTCTTTCAAATGTTATAACACTGAACACTTTTTTGTCTGCTTCACTGTACATGATCTGGTAACCCTTTAACTCTCCATTAATCTTTTCTGTTGGGGGATGATCCCACTTTATATGTATCACAGAGCTGTTGTTACTGGTTGCCAAGAGGTTTCTTGGTTGTGCTTCAGGTTCTACAAGTAAAAACAAAATTGTTTACAAGAATATTCAGACTTTCTATTGTATTACAAGAATGTTAATAAAAGATCATCGCTCCAATGTCAACCACAGCTGCATATATTTCAATCTGCCCAAGGGCATTATTTAATCATAATTAAAATAAGGATCTTAATGTACCCTTTCATTTATTCCACTCTGCACATGAGAAAACACTTTACAAGATGGATTCCAATTTTAGCAACACTTTCTTTAAACTCCACCCTCTAACTTACCCTTCATGTAAGTCTTTGCTTAATCCCTCAACAAAGGAAGTTTAATACCAAATATTTCCATATTTTTAAGGTTTGTGGAATTTTTCATGACTTTTCAGTAAATACTGATTTCAGAATTTACATATACAAAGCAAATCCATGAAAAAAATACGTTTCCAAAAAAATGAAGATAAGGATACACAATGAGTAATTTTTTCTTCATATAAATCAGAATTTTAATCTATCATTTTTACTGACCTTCAGAAGGAGTAATGAAGAACATGCTTGGTTCACTAGGCATGCTGTGTCCTATACTATTGACAGCTACAATCCTTAATTTGTAAGAAGTATATGGCCGCAGGCTCATGTTAGTTGTTATATTCTTCTTGTGTATGTTTGATGTCACTTTATTTCCTAATACCCAGTTTTCTGTATTTGTCCTAAATATATAAATATAAAAATACTGCAGTTTATAGTCAAATAACTCAAGATCATAAACAGTACATTAATTTATGTAAACAAGAAATGATTGTAACAGGATGCTGTTACGAAGTCTCCCAAACGAAGCTCCCATAATTCGTAATTCCCAGGGTTGCCTGACATTAGGCAAAGTCCAGTGAAAATTGGTTTGGTCCAGTAAAGTTATATGCATTAGTGATGCCTGGGGACTAACCCTATTCAAATCATCTTGGCATGACAAACCAGAATATATATGGTTTAGGGGTGGGAATCTCGACCATTTACAAGATATAAGAACTTTCTCAAATGGCAGGGGGTCGGGATGACCCCTGGGGACTAACCCTGTATATCATTCAAACCATCTTAGCATGACAAACCAGAATATATATGGTTTAGGGGTGAGGATCTTGACCACTTACAAGATATTAGAACTTTCTTAAATGGCATGGGGTGGGGGTGACCCCTGGTTACTAACCCTGTATTTCATTTGATGTGCTTTATCATGACAAACCAGAATATATATAGTTTAGGGGTGGGGATCTCGACCATTTACAAGATATTAGAACTTTCTCAAATGGCAGGGGGTCGGGATGACCCCTGGGGACTCACCCTGTATATCATTCAAACCATCTTAGCATGACAAACCAAAATATATATGGTTTAGGGGTGGGGATCTTGACCACTTACAAGGTATTAGAACTTTCTTAAATAGCATAGGGTGGGGCGACCCCTGGGGACTAACCCTGTATTTCATTTAATGGGCTTTATCATTTAGAACATTTTCAATTAAAAAGATTGTGTCTATCACAAACGGTTTTCAATTTATAATAATTTGAAAATTTGTAAAAATAAAATCCCATAGGGTTCTATAGTAAAACCCTCTTTTCTTTTTGCCCCTCAAAGTACCCCTTTATAAACCCCATTGCACAAACAAAACCCTGATTGCACCACTAGACATGTTAGTCTAACATATTGTGAAACCCCAAGTTAATCTGACAAGCGGTTTTGGAGAACATGTGCGGACAAGTTCAAATTTAAAAGTGGCGGAAGAAGAAGAAGAATAATAATAACTAGATTTGCCATTGCAAGCAATAGCGGATGTCACCCTTCCCCATTGCCACTAAGTGGCAGCCATTTCAAAAATTTTTAACAGTGAATGCACATATATGCATAGCTATACATCTTTCTGTAAATTTTCAGTACATTCAGAGCATTAAAAAAAAAATCACATTTTTGCCGTTTCCATGGCAATGGCAGCCATTTTGAAAATTTCAAAGTCAAAAGTCTCATCTAAACTTGCCAGTTAACAATAATATCAAGTTTCATTAAGTTTGAAGCATTTTGAAAATGTTTGACATTTTTGCAGTTTCCATGGCAACTTCATGGCCATTTTGGAAATTCCAAAGTCAAAAGTCTCATCTAGACTTGCCATTCAACAATTATATGAAGTTTCATGAATTTTGGAGCATTTTGAAATTTTTGAAATTTTTGACATTTTTGATGGTTCCTATGGTAATAGAGACCATTCCCAAAATTTAATGACAGATGCCACATTGGAACACGGGAGGGAACATACCATCAAAGTTTCAATCGATTTGACCTACCATTTTAAGAAAGTAAATGCTACTTTTAGGTTTTTGGAGGATTTTGACCTGTTTTGCATTGTTTCCATGGTAACGGCAGACATTTTCGAAATTCCAACGCCAAATTCCACATCTACCAATGTTGCTTATCGTTACTGTGAAGTTTCATTAAATTTGGAGCATTTTGATGTTTTTGAAATTTTTGGTGTAGTTTCCATGGCAACATAGTAGTTCCAATGATTGCCAAAATCATCCAAAACCAGTATATAGTGGGCACCTACATTGTATTAAAATCTAATGATTTTAAGTTTAAGCATTCTCAAATAATTCATCGAACTCCAAAATTATATTTTTTCACCATTTTTCAGTTTCCATGGTAACGGCAGCCATTTTTTAGTTCCAAAGTTGCACTGCAACTCGAAAGTCAGGGTTCCTTGTTATAGTGAACCATCATTCAGATTGGTTCCTTTGGCTCTGAGAAAGCGGGCGGACAAAATTAGGTGGAAGAAAAATAATAATAATAATAATAGGGAAAAAGAAACAGAGGAAAAGCAATATGTCACCCGACATTGTCGATCGGGTGACATAATAATAATAAGAACTGAGCAAAAACAATGTCTTCCCAAACTTCGTTTGGGAGACTTAAATATCTAAAAACTGCTTGGTTTTTTACAAGTTTCTGTTAGTACAAAATGTACTAGTGATTGGCTCATAAAATTTACTTTGTTGTAGGGTTAAAATGATACACCTACCTATTACAAAGTTTGAATTGATAGGTACATTATTTAAATTGAAGTTATTTCCCTTGGTCCCCATGTTGGAAGTGAAGCTGGTAGATTTTCTTATTTGACTTACAAAATAAAATGTTAAAAACATGTAACACAATCAACTTTGAGAAGATATATCCTTGCTATATCAAAGTGATGACTTATTCAAAGCTTAAACAGATAAAAAAAAAAATTCATAAAAAAAACTCATTCCCAAGGTTTGCTATCAGTACTAGGAGTTGAATCTAATTGATATATGGAGAATTTGTGCAAGTTTTTACATTCATGGTAGCAAAAGAAAATAAACCAATTACTTTTCTGGAGTGAGTTTTTTTCAAGACCTAGAAAAATACACAAATATAAATATTCTCAAAAAAAGACAAACTTTGAATTCTAATATACATGAATTCACTAAAAAAAGTCATAAATGACAATAATAAATGGCATCAAAATAGAGACAAAGGGCTCCAAGCTAAAAAGTATAAACAAACATAAATTGTTTTACAGCAGTGCTCAAATTAGGTAAAATCAAAAACTATCTATAAACAAAGTGCCTAGGATGTATATCCACAAAGATAAAGGTACAATGTAAACTTATGACTTACATTATCCAAAACTTTTTTTGAAGGAGTATAAAAAATGTTTAAAATAATTTCAAATTTTGGTAATCCTTTGCCTGTGTCATAATACTAACCTGACTTCTATCATATAGCTACTTATTGGACTATTGTTTTCTTCTGAACTGGCTATCCACCAAACAGAAACTTGACGTGACTTTAATCTCCCTATTTGTGGCATCCCTGGTTTACTTGGTACATCTGAAGTAACAAACAAATTTTAAAATCCTTTAAATTCTGAACTTAAATAAACAGCTGCGCCATGAGCGCATGATACACCCATCGTCTAGTGTGTGAATTTTTATGCAATAATCATAAATAGTTTTTGACATACGGCGTGACATGCAAAAACCCCCAATTTTTATACAAAAAACTCAATATCTCTAAAACAACATTTTGAATCAAAACCAAAAAGTATACAGATCTTTAGATTAATATAACTAAGAAGTGTGTAAAATTTTAAGCAATAATCATGAATCGTTTTTGAGATACGGCGCAACATGTGAAAACTCCCCTTTTAAAAAAAAAAAAATCAATATCTCTAAAATAAAATTTTGAATCAAAACCAAAAAGTATACAGATCTTTAGATTAATATAACTAAGAAGTGTGTAAAATTTTAAGCAATAATCATAAATCGTTTTTGAGATACGGCGCAACATGTGAAAACCCCCCTTTTTAAAAAAAAAAAAATCAATATCTCCAAAAATAAAATTTTGAATCAAAACCAAAAAGTATACAGATCTTAAGATTAATATAACTAAGAAGTGTGTAAAGTTTTAAGCAATAATCATGAATCGTTTTTGAGATACGGCGCGACATGTGAAAAACCCCTCCCCCTTTTTTAACAAAATACTCAATAACTCAAAAATAAAATTTTGAATCATCACCAAAAAGTATACAGGTCTTAAGATTAATATAACTAAGAAGTGTGTGAAGTTTTAAGCAATAATCATAAATTGTTTTTGAGATACGGCGCAACATGTGAAAATAAACACACACCTGTTTTAGTTACTAAGTCCTGTAACTCAAAAAGTTTTAATCTTATTTTCACCAAAAAGTATACAGATCGTTTGACCATCATAAGAAACAACTATGTTAAGTTTCATGAAATTTGGATAAGCCGTTCTCAAGTTACGGTGCGACATGTTTATGCCGTGTTTTAAAATTTTGACCGGCGTATAAAAACTATAAGCTCTAAAAAGCCTGTGTCGCTCACCTAGGTCTATGTGCATAATCAACAATGGACTCTCTCCAACATTGTAGACAAGAATAGAGTTCATGAAATAAATTTCTTTTTTGTTGATCTTGTATTGCTGATCATTTTGTCTGTTTAGTTTCTCTCTATGAAGAGTGACAGTCTACCAACTATATCGGCAAAATTTGACTTGTTTGTGGATCTAGCCTTGCTGATCATTTTTGTTATTTAAAGTTTCTATTTATCTATTATAATTTTTATCATATAAGGCAAAATGCAAATAAATTGTAAAAATCGTCATTAAAGGGCAATAATTCCAATAAGGAGTCATCGGAAAATTACCTCCACCCTTTCTTAAAGGTAGATCTTGTCTTGATGATCATGTTTGCTTATCTAAGTTTCTATCTATCTTTTATAATTTTAAAGATGTAAGGCAAAAAAGCAAAAAATTGGTAAAAATTGTCATCAAAGAGCAATAACTCTAATTACAAGTCGACTGACGATTTCAACCATGCATACTTATTCATGGATCTTGTCTTGCTGATCATTTTTGCAACATAAAGTTTCTCTCCATCTATTATAGTTTTCAAGATAAGGGCCAAAAGGCAAAAATGAAAAGAAATGGTAAAATTTGTTGTTTAAGGGCATTAACTCCTATAAGAAGTCGCCTGACAGTTTTGACGTCAATAAACAATTAGTAGAGCTCAACATTCTGAACATTTTTGCCATTGTCAGAATTTCTCTACTTATAACAGTTTTCAAAATAATAGACAAAACTTGAATTTTACCCCTATGTTCTATTTTTAGCCAAATCGGCCATCTTGGTTGGCAGGCGGGGTGGTTGGACACATTTTTTAAACTAGATACCCCAATAATGATTGTGGCCAAGTTTGGTTAAATGTGGCCCAGTAGTTTCAGAGGAGAAGATTTTTGTAAAATTAATGACAACAGACGACAAGATATGATAAAAGCTCACTTGGCCCTTTGGGCCAGGTGAGCAAAAAATAAAATGAAACCTCAACTCTTTGAATCCATGGTCATGGTGAAATTATGGAAAATGACTCACATGATATATATGCAAACACCATAAATGGGGAAGGGCAGAAAAAATTTTCTGCAATATTATAAGCAAGTTGAATCTTATTGTACATCTTTTTAGAAAAAATTTATGAATGGGTAAACTACAGATCCAGGGTCTTCATATGTTTATCATTAGAAGAAGAAAATCGGATTTAAAAAGGAAAACTGCACGCAAAAGTGTCCCATTCATTGCATTGCGGGATTCTGCCCTAAGCTTCCAGATATAACACTGAAAAAATATTAAAGACGTTTTGAAATAGAAACTATTTCCTCAATCAGCCATTTTAAAGGATATTCATTGATTTAAAACATTTCTTCTAGTCCCCAATTCCCCTCATTAGACTTAATAAATATCAAAATTCTATTTATTGAATATCATCCATGCAAAAACACTTGTGCAAATGTTTTACAATTAAAGAATGAATGATTAAAGTATGTGGTCAAATCTTATACTTAAATCATAATACCTGGTATGTAACAGGAAATGGGCTTTAAATTTCATAGTAAAATAATAACAACAGTAAAATTAATTTTCTAATGTAATTATTTAAAAAAAAAACAGCACTTTATAAAATTAAAATTGCTTCATATGACACTTTTCTTCCATTATCTTTTTTCCTAAAATTGTCAATAAAATTAATTTGGCATCCGTATCTAAAAATATTTCCTGCTTTAACTCTACTTCTACGAGATGCAATATAGATGTAAAATCAGGCTAATTCTATTTACCAACACCTGATATTATATCGAAACTAAAGCCAACTACCAGGTGTGTCGTGCATTTGTAATAGATGTTTAAACAGGAAGTTTGATAACCATCCCTTTTATTATATATTTCTTTACTGGCTTTTCAACAGAATAGTTTAAAATGCTGATAATAAAAATTTTAAAAACTACTTCTTTTTAAATGATTAAATGACATTGTATCACATGCACTTATAGCAGCAGTGTTAAACCAGTATAGGACTAGTTAATAAAAAATATTAGTGCAATTTACAGATTCAATCCTTTAAAATAACCAAAACTCATAGCCAATTCAATTGCAAGTCAAAATGTTTAAATTTAAATTCAAAACTTTATTGTCATGTATAAACCAACTTATATGATTTGTGACTAAAACAAACAAAACATATTATTATATAAATGACAAGAAGAAAGCATGTATAATTATAATGAACAAACTAATTAATACATATAGTTATATAGTATAGCAGTTAATAATCCAATTATGAGTCCTCTACCCTTAGTAATAATGACTGTTTAATAAAGGAACCTATGCTTTCTTCTTGTTTTTGTGTTGATGGGCAGAGAATAAATTTTATTTTAGCATCATCATTCAGGTCATTAAAATTTTCATTACAGTTTGCCTCAATCAGTTTTTTAATTAAAGCTGGTCTTATGGTGGAGTTTTCCTGTAATACAAGAGAAAATGTTTGTACTGTAGCTCTCATACTGTAGCTATCAAACTCATTGCTGTTTTGCAAAAATTGCAGAGAAATATGAATGAACCTTTGTATTTACCTTGAACATAAAGGTCAGTAACATTCTCAAACTTCTGAATAAGATCTTTAGTTTCTGGATCTCTAAATATCCCAACAGAACATGTATACTGTTTTGTATCATCAAGATCTACATTCTTTATCATCAAACTGTAGTTGTCAGCCAGACTATACTTGGCTTTTAAAGAATCTACAATATAGGTAATAGTGATATTTCCTTGATCCTCCTTGGCAGTTAACAGAAAGACTGCTCTCTCAGTCCATGTGTATGTCACGTAGGTCTGGTTGTCTGTTGGGACGTCTATACCACAGGGCAAAATGGCATCTGTCTTTACCTTCACAAATACTTGCCCATCTTTCTCTGCCTTGCCTAGAATTTAAAAAAATAATTAAATAACAAATGCTAAATCAACCAAGATCTAAAAATATTGTTTGATTGATTGGTGATCTGAAAATAGCTGTTAAAAAGTTCATATCAACAACAAAATAAAATGCTTCGCTGGGGCGCAGCTTGATACGACCGCAGAGGTCGAACCCTGAACAGTTGGGGCAAGTATGGACACAACATTCAAGCTTGATACAGCTCTGAATTTGGATTGTTATTAAATATTTGACATAGCATAGGTTTCTGACACAGAAAGAATGTGGTCTAAGAACTTGATTTTTTTTAATTTACCTATTATGGTCCAATGTCCAAAATCAAAATACATGGTTAGATTCAGCATATCAAAGAACCCCATATATTCAATTTTTGTTAAAATCAAACAAAGTTTAATTTTGGACCCCAACTTGGACAAACTTGAAAACTGGGCCCATAATCAAAAATCTAAACACATGTTTAGATTCAGCATATCAAAGAACCCCAAGAATTCAATTTTTGCTAAAATCAAACTAAGTTTAATTTTGGACCCTTTGGACCTTAATGTAGGACAATTTAAAAAACGGGACTTAAAATTAAAAATCTAAATACACGGTTAGATTTGGAATATCAAAGAACCCCAATAATTCAATTTTTGATGAAATCAAACAAAGTTTAATTTTGGACCCTTTTGACCTCAATATGAACCAATTTGATAGCGGGGCCCACAAATAAAAAATCTAAATTCATGGTTAGATTCAGCATATCAAAGAACCCCATATATTCAATTTTTGTTGAAATCAAAAAAAGTTTAATTTTGGACCCCAACTTGGACCAACTTGAAAACTGGGCCCATAATCAAAAATCTAAACACATGTTTAGATTCAGCATATCAAAGAACCCCAAGAATTCAATTTTTGTTAAAATCAAACTAAGTTTAATTTTGGACCCTTTGGACCTCAATGAAGACCAATTTAAAAAACGGGACCCAAATTAAAAATCTAAAAACACGGTTAGATTTGGCATATCAAAGAACCCCAATAATTCAATTTTCGATGAAATCAAACAAAGTTTAATTTTGGACCCTTTTGACCTCAATATGAACCAATTTGATAGCGGGGCCTACAAATAAAAAATCTAAATACATGGTTAGATTCAGCATATCAAAGAACCTCATATATTCAATTTTTGTTGAAATCAAACAAAGTTTAATTTTGGACCCCAATTTGGACCAACTTGAAAACTGGGCCCATAATCAAAAATCTAAATACATGTTTAGATTCAGCATATCAAAGAACCCCATATATTCAATTTTTGTTGAAACCAAACAAAGTTTAAATACTTGACCCTATCTTGGACCAACTTGAAAACTGGGCCCATAATCAAAAATCTAAACACATGTTTAGATTCAGCAAATCAAAGAACCCCAAGAATTAAATTTTTGTCAAAATCAAACTAAGTTTAATTTTGGACCCTTTGGACCTCAATGTAGACCAATTTAAAAAACAGGACCCAAAATTAAAAACCTAAATACACGGTTAGATTTGGAATATCAAAGAACCCCAATAATTTAATTTTAGATGAAATCAAACAAAGTTTAATTTTGGACCCTTTTGACCTCAATATGAACCAATTAGATAACGGGGTCCACAAATAAAAAATCTAAATACATGGTTAGATTCAGCATATCAAAGAACCCCATATATTCAATTTTTGTTGAAATCAAACAAAGTTTAATTTTGGACCCCAATTTGGACCAACTTGAAAACTGGGCCAAAAATCAAAAATCTAAATACATGTTTAGATTCAGCATATCAAAGAACCTCATATATTCAATTTTTGCTAAAATCAAACAAAGTTTATTTTTGGACCCTTTGGACATTAATGTAGACCAATTTGAAAACTGGACCCAAAATTAAAAATCTAAATACACTGTTAGATTCGGCATAACAAATAAATAAATGTGATCAAAGATTTTATAAATCTAATGCACCATACTGTGCAATTAAAGATAACTTCTTGAAATTTTTCAATATATGAAATTTGAAAAAAAAATAATATTTGAAGAATAATTCTTTTTAATTTCTGAAATCTGAAATGAGAAAAAATTGGCCCCCCACAATTTCTTTTTATCCCCCCCCCCCTTTTTCCCCCAAAAAAATTCTTTCCCTCAAGATATGGTCATAATCTCAATTCAAATTTCCAATGGAGTTGGCAACCATAATTACCCATTTAAATTTACCATAGTGCTAACTTAATATATTTTATAATAGAATTAATAAAAATATAGTGTCAAATCTTTCATATGGATTTTTTTGTAAAAAAAAAAGATGAAAACATTTGCAGATATTTTTACTGGTCTTCCTTTATAAATATGCATTTCTTTAAACATAATTTAAAAGCAGTGTAAGGGAAGTAACCAAAACGTTGTATTTAGATTACCTCCCTTACACTGTTTTAGATTATCTTTATTGTTCATTAACCATTACTTTATACATAATTTAAAAGCAGTGTAAGGGAGATAATTTCAATGATGTATTTGATTTATCTCCCTTACACTGCTTTAAATTATGTTTTGTACTAAAGTATTTGTCCATTAACCAGGACAACCTTGTTTTTCCCCCTTTTTTGCCCCTAATTCCTAAACGGTTTGAGCCATAACCCCCCAAAGCAAATCCTAACCATCCCTTTGTGGTATGGAAACTTGTAGTATAATTTCAGAGAGATCCATACACCGTTCCACAGTTATTGTCTGGAAACTAGAAAATGCTCATTTTTGGCCCCTTTTTTGCCCCTAATTCCTTAACTGTTGGTACCATAACCCCCAAAATCAATCCCAACCTTCCTTTTGTGGTATTTAACCTTATGGTCAAATTTCAAAAAGATCCATTCACTTAAACTAAAGTTAGAGTGCGAAAACCAATATGTATTCGGACGACGACGCCGGACGACGACGACGACGACGACGACGACGACGACGACGACGACGCCAACGTCATACCAATATACGACCTCAAAATTTTTTTGCGGTCGTATAAAAATAACACCAACAAAACAAAACAACAGTAGCCTGATGGTACTCCGTCTGAACAACAATATCTATATATGTTCATCAAAGGACCATAAGGTATCAAGCCAACAGTATGAGGTTTCTTTTGTTGTACCTCAAATTCAGAAATTTTTTGAGATGTTTTTGTTACATAAAAAAAATGTATTGCAAAAATTAGGACAAGATAAGTTTTGTGAAAAATAAATATGTGCATTTTAATTTTTGATTCTAAATTAGTATGCAGAATTTCCTGAAATCCCAATAATCAATCTCACATTAATTTCAAATATCAAATATTGTTTATCGTTGCACTTAAAAATTTCTGAATTTTTAGTAGTAAAAGAAGGTATTCACAACCATTATAATCATGCTTAATTGTAGCCTGTTAAAGAAGACAAAGATAATCTGTGTTTGGTGGGTATTTCTTAATTTTGGACAGAAAGGCTTACAATTTTCAATGGTTGAACAAAGTGTATAATTTAATTTCCTTACTTTTTTGTGACTCTTCAATACTCATGTTATGGATATGTCACGTGAGCAGACATCAACAAAGCAATAGTGATTTTTGGAGAATGATTTTTTCAAAGGACTGTGTTTTGCATAGTGAGTTATAATGCAGAATTAATGACAAGTAGATATATTGACCAATTTTACAGAATTGAGGATTTTATCCATTTTAGCTCTAAAACTTATCAAATATTGCCCAGGACTCAAATAAAATATTGATTTATATTGAAACTAAAAATGTACATTGTTTTGAAATTTAATTAGCATAACATTTCTACTTTTCCTCCGAAAACAACTTGTATGCATTATAGATGTGTTTGTATTGTACACATATCTCCAGCCTGTGCCAAAAACTTTTTAACCGCCTAGCCCCAAAGCTCATATCAAGAATATACTTCAGAATGTGTAACAAAATTTTCACTAGCTCAAACCAATGTTTACTAGTCACAGGCTTAAGGCTAGTAGTTTTTGACACAGACTGTATCTGAAATGATTTTATTCTATTATAAATACATGTATATGAACATTAAATATATACATGTAGCGCTGTTCCTTTGCTTTTTGTGTGTTTTTTTGCTGTGCATGTATTGATTTTGTGTCATGGATGGATACCATAAATTCTTTGTTTTTTCTTTTATGTATACATATTTGAGAGAGAGAGAGAGATAAATTGTTGACAAAATATTGAAGTGAAATCTTAATACAAAATGTATTTTCAAGGCAACTTATTTTCAAACACTTTAACATGTATAGAACCAATAAATAAATATCACATCATCCTGAGAATAGAGTAGTTACACTCTGGTTTGTATAAACAGTTATATTCCCTGATTAAGCCTTACAAAAGGGGGACATGCTTGGCTTCAATGATACCAGAAAATAATCTCCTTCAAACAAATCCATCTTAATCATTCTCTTTTGAAGCCAGATGAATTTACTAACTCTGATTAATTTATTAGCTAAACAAATCAGATTTTCTGACATGTGTATCATACAAACATTTATACCACTTAATGTTTTTCCCCTTCACAATACTATCTAGAGCTCAGAGTGTATAAAATAAACACCAAAATTTAAAGGTCTTTATTATTCATAATAAAACATGACTTTTAAACATTTTCATCTCAAATTTAAGGCAAGCCCTTAAACAAACTGAACTTGCTATTATTGAAAACTTTAAAATGTGATTATTCAAATTTATGAGTATGTTTAACCTACTTAAGTAGCGTGACGCCCCAAACCAATCAATAGAATTAAACCCTCGGTAATTGAAACATTGTCAATTTTTGAAACTTTTGAGAATATTACCTCATAACTTAATTCACCACAAATTAATCATAAGTTATAGATTTTAAAAATTAAATATGGCTATGAAATTGTTCCATTATATAGTTGGAAATGACTTCAAAGAAAAATTATACAATTGTAATCCTTATTTAAACATGCATTTAAATTC